GCGACCCTCCTCCTCGGCACCACCAGCCCTGGCGACCCCGACACGTATGAGCCGGTTCTCCGGACTCCTGGGCTGGGGCACTAACCCTGTCATGGGTCCCGTGTGCCCTGGAGCAGGGTCTCCCGTTTTGGGGTGGGCATGGGACGATCTCAAAGGGGCATTTCCCCTAAGACTCAGGATGCAGTCCTCTCGCGTGAGTCAAATGGATCTGGGGCTGGGCTAATAAGAGGGAGCTCCCGGGTACCAAGGGGTCACCTGCAGACCGCGGGAGGCAGGGATGGGGGAGCCTCCACTCAGTGCCAGAGCTGAGCAAGTGCGCACGCAGTTCTGCCACAGACAGACAGCTGAGGCCATCACAGAGACCCCAGTGTCCTGCGTCCCAGCCCCGACCGGCTTCATGGGCGTGCAACCTGTGCAGCCTCGCCGGGCCCCACGTGCAGAAGGACCCACACTTGATTTAATGCTCTGCTGTGGCCATCTTGAAGTGCTTAATAATTTTTGAGCAAGGGCCCCCCCTTTTCATTTTGCACTGGGCTCTGCAAACTGTGTGGCTGTCCTTGTTCCTTATAACAATAATGCCTATTACTGACGGAGAGCTTGCTGTATACCCGGCACCACATATTTTCTTCCATATACAGTGCAATTCACCTGTCCCTCACAGCAGCCAGGTGTAAATTGCCTCTCTTAGATTCAGCCGAGCTGCATGACCATGTGGACCGGGTGCTAGCACTTCATATATGCTAACGCTTGCAAGGCTCTCGGCAATCCGAGTACCATTACCATCCACATTACGGATGAGGATCTGAAGCCCGGGAGGTTAAGCGGCTCGCCTGCAGTTGCAGAGCTAGTGACAATCGCGCCATTGTGTGAGGAGCCAGCCTAAAGACCCTACCCTCCTTGCCGGGCTGGCCAGGGGCTGTCCCAGGAGCTCTGCAGTCCCCCGTCCTGCCCTGCCCTGCCTGCACCCCAGCCGTGGCAGGTGCCCAGCAGTGCCTGGTGGGTGAGCAGCTCCAGCCGCACTGTCAGTTCCTATTCCTGCCACCTCCTGATCCGCCTGATCATCTGCCACACTCTGCCTCCTCCTGTGCCCAGGTGTGCAATCTGCTCCCCAGCTTGGGCGAGGAGCAGTGGGGCCGAGAAGTGTCAGTTTCCATTTCCTCCCATGGTGTGGAGATCCCTGAGTGTTCTGGGCTGCAACTGTGGCTCCAGGAACCCTGGTTCATCAGTGCTGGTTACTGCTGCGCTGACAGCCCAGGGGGAGGGGGCTGATGCCACAGTGAGCCCAGGTGGCTGGGGACGGGGTGGATAGACCAGCACTGGGAGATTCTCACATGCCCAGGCTGACTTGTTTGCCGTCTTTGTCTCAGCTCCCAGGCCTGTAAGATAGGGTACAAAAACCAGGCCCAGCAGGTAAGAATTCAGGGTTTGGGGCACACAGCCCTGAGTTCAAGTCCCAGGTCCAGCACTGAACCAGCCATATGACCTTGGGCATGTTACAAAACTAAACTTCAGTGTCCCCCTCCATAAAGAAGACAGTGAAAATGGCCAGGCGTGGTGGCTCACACCTGTAATCCTAGCACTCTGGGAAGCTGAGGCAGGAGATCGCTTGAACTTAGGAGTTCTAGACCAGCCTGACCAAGAGCAAGACCCCATCTCTACTAAAAATAGAAAAATTAGCTGGATGCAGTGGTACACACATGTAGTCCCAGCTACTTGGGAGGCTGAGGCAGGAGGATCGCTTGAGCTCAGGAGTTGGAGGTTGCAGTGAGCTACGATGATGCCATTGCACTCCAGCCTGGGCAACAGAGCGAGACTCTGTCTCAAAAAAAAAGAAAAAAGAATAAGACAGTGTAAACAGAAGCATCCCAGTTCTGAACTCAGACCCGACGGACTGGCGAGAATTCAGTTCCCAACTTCAGCACTTATTACCATAGTTACAGGAGCTTGCATAAGTTACTTCACCTTTCTGAGCCTTGGATTCCTTGTCTGCCAAATGGGGCTAATCCCTATGACATACTCATGGGTTTTTGTGAGGACCAAGTGACCTGGTGCCTGCTGAGTCCTTTTCTCGGTGCCTGGCACTTAATAAGTGCTCAGTAAGCCACTGTGACAAGTGTGATGGAGGTGGTGCTGGGATATGAGGAGAGCTGGCCCCTACTGCAAGGCCTTGCCTGGCCCAGCCAGGGTCAAGTGCAGGGCTGTCTTCCCACAGCCAGGCTGCCCGGGAGTTGGTAGCTGGGGTCTGTGAGAGCTGGTCACAAGGCAGGTGGCTGAGGGCCAGGAACTAAGCCGCCAGGAGGCCTTTGACAGGTGTGTGGGGACATCTTCTTTCAGAGGCAGCTGTGGCAGTGGGATGGGAGAGACCTAGGCCACCTGCCAGACTCTCTCCTGCCCCTCCCAGGGGGCTGTGGGGTCCGGCTTCCCTCTGCCAGCCCCCAGCAGACCCCATTCCGTGCACCCCCAAGCTGTGCTCCCAAACTTTTCTGTGCACGAATCCTCCGAGGAGCTTGTGAACATGCTTATTCGGACTCAGCAGTCAGGGCGGGCCCGGGACTCTGCATTTCTAATCAGCTCCCAGGGATGCGAGACCACGCTTTGAGTAGCCAGCACCTGAAACAGTATATACATGTAAGTGATGAAGATTATGATAATTCGGGGTGTTGGGTTATTACCGGGTCTGACTCTAGCCGACTTCGAAGGCCTGTCTGGGAGAAAATGCTTCCCAGAGGTCAAAAGGAACTCAAGGCCTAGGGGGCCTTAGGGTCTGATTTTGCTTCTAGAAGCAAAGAGACAGGCAGAAAGTACCTTTCAGCTTGAGTGACATCGACAGTGGTTCCCAAACTCCAGGCCCCACGGCTGCATGAGAACCACTTGGGGATATTTTAAAAATATAGATTCTGTGCACTCGCTCTCTCTCTCTCTCTCTCCCCCTCTTTTGCCTTTCTGTCTCCTGTCACGTATGACGCAAGAAGGCCCTTGCCAGATGCCAGAATCTTACAAAATAAATACAGATTCTGAGTCACAAAGAAACGAACTGTGTGTGATTCCCTCATCTGAGCCATGTGATGTAGTCAAATTCATAGAAACAGAAATAGGGTGGTGGTTGCCAAGGGCTGGGAGAGAGGAGGTGGAAAATTGCTGTTTAGTGGGTATGGAGTTTCAGATTTGCAAGAGAAAAAGTTCTGGAGATCTGTTTTACAACAATGTGAATACACTTAACGCCACTGAACTATACACTTAAAAATGGCTGCGATGATAAATTTGTATGTTATATGGGTTATTTGTCACAATAAAAACAAAACAAAACAGATGCTGGTCCTGGCCTCTGGAATCCTATTCAAGAGCACCAGGGTGGAGCCCAGGAATCTATTGTTCTAAAATCTCTCCAGGGGATCTGAACTCGTGGCCAGGCTTGGGGACTGCTGGCTGTGGGAAGGTTGTACCCTGAATGTCTCCGGAATCTCCCCCCCTCTCCCTGCAGCTGCTCCGTGATCTTTCTAAACCACAAACCTGATCCTGTCCCACAGCTCTGTTAAAACTGTTCCATGGCCTCCCGTTGCCCTCGGTACAAAATAGAAAAAAGCACAACTTTCTCAGCAGAGTGGAGTCAGGGACTCAGCCGTGTGAACAGAGTATTACAACCGGAGGCGTTTGGAGCTCGGCAGAGGTCTGTGCCCCAGAGCAGAGCCTGGGGAGGCAGAGATGAATTCTGCTGGGGGTGCAGGGAAGCTGCCCGGACAGAGAGGCCTTGCTGGGCCTTGGAAGGTGAGCAGGTGTTCGCTCAGAGACTGGGGTGAAGGCCAGAGGTAGGCAGTGCAGGGGGCAGAGGGAGAAGAGGGTCCCAGGCAGCCAGACAGCATCCCTGAAGGCAGGGAGGTAAGTGAGGGTGTGCCCCCATTGGGGAGGGAAGGGGTGAACTGGGGGGACAGGGAAAGGCGAGGGTGGGACAAGCAGGGAGAAGGTGAAAGCCTGGTAAAGCGGAGAGGGGCTGGGGGCTGAGCACCTTCAAGGTGCCTCCCGGAGACATCTGATCCCCCAGTGCCGCCCAGGCCCAGGGTCGGTTACCAGCTTCCCGGCCTGCCCTCTCCTTGGTGGGCGCCTTGGGCAAGGTGATCTGGCCAGGAGGGACAACAACTCTGCCCCCTCCCCCAGAGCCCCCAGGGTCCCCAGCTCACTGCTCACACCCCCGGCTCTCAGCCCCTCCCCAAAGGGCCTGCCTGGTTCTTCCCTGACACCACTCCCTCCCCTTCCGTGTGTGTGTGTGTGTGTGTGTGTGTGTGTGTGGGCGCGTGCGCGCGTGTGCTCGCCTGAGTCTCTTCAAGGTCGCCTGGTCAAGCGGTGTCTGTCTTTGCCTGTCTGTGCATCTGTTTATTTGTGGCCATTTCCTAAAAGCTGGCCTGGCACAGCATGTGTGGCTTTGTGAGTGTGTCCCCTTCAGGGGCGTCATCCTAAGACATAAGAGGTGATGCCAGGGCCGCAGAGGCAGGGACCCAGCAAGAGGACGCGGCTCAGCTGTAATTCCGTAATTCCATCAGCCCCGCCCCCAGCGCCCCCAGAGGAACAAGGAAGAAGAGAGAGTGTCAGCGAGGTTGAATGCCCCTCCTGTCTGCTCAGTGCCCCGCACCACGGTAGAGGAATTGGGGAGCTGCTGCCGACACCCAGCATGCATTTCAGAAAGGGCCCCTTCGCCCCCCATCAGAGATGGAATAAACGCGTCCCCTGGGGCTGGGGCTGAGGCTGGGGCCCCTTTTACAGCCCCCCTCCCCACTGGGAAGCCTCTTTCCTCTGCCCACCCGCAACCCCACCACCCCTTGCCCGGAACAGGAGCAAGGCTCCACCAGGCCGTGGGCCCTGGCGCCCAGGCCAGCCGTGGGCCCTGGCAGAGGACCCAAAGACCCCACGCTCGGGGCCAGCGCCATGTGGCCCCAGCTGGGGGCAGGTCACACGAGGGGCTCACATGGCTTCTGTCTTCTCGGCAGGAGATGGGAACAGAGAAATCCCTGCAAACGCTGGAAGAGAAGTCACGTCCCCTAATTCTTGGCAGGAAAGGTAATAGGATGCATTTGTAAGCCCGTTGCTGGGACAGGCGTGTTAATGGTGCTAAACATCTGAAAATGCCCAGAGCCACATGGAGGAATGAATCCGCCCCGAGAGCCTGAGGTCGCATTGAGACGGCACCCAGGAGTGGCAAGGACGCTGGCCCGGGAGTCTGAGCCCTGGCTCACCCCGGCTTGGCCACCAGCTTGCTGCGGTCCCCGCACAGCCCTGGCCTCCCTAGGCAGGAAAACACTGCTGCGTGCCAGGCGGCTCTCTTGGGTCACCCAACTGAAGCCGAGCCATGGTCCTGTGCGGTGGTGTCATCATTACTTCTGTTTTGTGGAAGAGGAAACTGAGGTTCCCTGAAGGAGGTGCCTCTTGCCACAGCTGGAACGAAGGGGGGAAGACTACCCTGACTTACGGCTGAGGGCCTTAAATGACAGGTCTGGACTACGGGTCAGCCAGGGCAGACGTTCCCTCAGTGTCCACTAGGAGGCGCCCTAGACTGCTTCTCCTGGTTGGCACCAGCACCTCCATCCCTCAGCCCGAGTGGTCTCCCCGATGGTCTCTGAGACAGGCGGGATGGGGGCTGCCAGCGCCTGGGGCAAGGTGGGGAGGCACATTGGCCTCCCACCCCCTTCTTTCCCACCCCTATGGGGGAGCCTTCTGCCCTCACCTTCCAAGGGTAAGGGAGGGAAGAGTGGAGGGGTCTCAAACCCTCAGGGACACGGGGGCCCACTGGTCCCCTCCTCAGGCCCCTTGGGAACCCCGTGTGTCAGATTGGGATCAGTTACAGATGTCAGAGCTCAGAGAGGGTTAGCAGCTTGCCTAAGGTCACACAGCCAGGTCCATCTGATTCTGAATGCCTCAACTCAGTCCTGGTTCAGGAGAGGTTCGGGACAGAGGTGCTGGACTCAGCTGGTCACGTGGCCCACAGCAGGCAGGAAGGTGCTGGTCAGCTTGGCCTGCAGGCCTTGCTCAGGGTGTTCCTACACTCAGGGGTCAAGGGCCAGATCCGGGTAGTCAGGACTGGGTGTGGGGGCTTCTAAAAGGGCAGGGGAGACACTCAGCTGCCAGCCGGTGGATGTCCCTGGCGGTGTCAGTATCTGTCTCTATCTGAAAGTGGGCATGTAAGTGGGGGTGGGGACAGCGGGGCGTGGGTCGGGCCCAAGACTGCAGGCCTCTGGGGGTGGGCCTGTGATGGGGGTGCTCGGGCAGCCGCTTGGGGCGGCCGAAGAATCCAGCCTGAGTGTTCCGAGCTGGAGCTGCGAGGAGCTGACTGGGAGGGGCTGGGCTGGATGTGGGGAGTGACAGTGACATTGAGTACGGGGACACAGGGCCCTTCTCTCCCTGCCCGGCTTTCTGGAGGGCAGCTGCTTCCCCACCAGCCGTGGCAGGTGGTCTGGACCTGCCAGGCACCTGGAGGGCAGCCTAGTATCAGGGGAGAGAGCCGCCCCCGTGCCCGGCTCTCGCAGCTGGGACCCCCCCCAGAGCTGCCATGGCCCCCAGAGCCCTCCCCGACGCAGAGACCACCCAGCCCAAGCCCGGTTACTCGGATCCCTGGCGCCGGGGAGGCAGGCTGGGCAGGAGACTGGCACATCCAGCCTCCCGGCGCAGCACAGCCAGGAGACGGGCGTGCTGTCTCCCAGTGCCCATGACAACGGCTGTCTGGGCGTGGGGCTCCATCCCGGGACGCAGACGTAGTGAGGGGACATCGGCCAGAGGAGCTGTCCTGGAAAATCCCAGCCCTTCCCCAGGCAGGTCACAGAACCGGCTCTCCCAGCCGAGGCCCTTCCTACCGGCAACGTGTCCAGGGGCACCTGACTGGAACTATAAATAGAGGGATGACGGAAGGCTCCGGAAGCCCAGGGGAGGGCAGGAGAAAGCGGTTCTGACTCTCTCCTGGAGAGGCCCAGGGAAGCTGCGCTGGCAGGGCGGCACTTCCGTGGTGGGTCTTCGTGGTTGAATAGGAGTCCCCTGGCAGAGGAGGTCCAGGAGGGGCCTTCGGGCAGGGGAGACAGGCTAGTGAAGCATGAGGTGGGAGCTGGGCACAGGGGCTCACATCTGTGAGCCCAGCTCCTCGGGAGGCTCACTTGAGGCCAGGAGTTCAAGACCAGCCTGGGCAACAGAGGGAGACCCCATCTCTACAAAAATGAAAAAAATTAGCCAATCATGGTCGCACTGCTCTGTAGCCCCAACTCCTGGGGAGGCTAAGGCAGGAGGATCATTTGAGCACAGGAGTTCGAGGCTGCAGTGAGCTATGATCGTGCCACTGTACTCTAACCTGGGCCAAAGAGCAAGACCCCACCACTGAAAAAAGGCAGGAGGAAGAAATGGAGCAGGCAGGCGACCCAGAGAGGCTAGGCAAAGGCTACAGAGGGCGTGACAGTGATGAGACCCAGAGGCTAAGGGCCCTGAATGCCAGGCCCAGGGTCTGTTCTGGAGGACCGAGTCTTGCTCGTAGAAGAACAAGTAACATATGCGAACAAGGCTACCTGGGGTTTAGTGCAGAAAGTACACGGCCACCTTTCCCCAGTGGATTGGAGGGATACTGTGGTGTGCCAGAGACTGCTAACTGTTCCCCAACATCTGTTCTCTCTGTCTTCTTTGCCACAGGACTTCTGTTTTTTAGCTGGGTGTACAACCGCCTGAAATAAAGACTATATTTCCCAGCCTCCCTTACAGCCAGGTATGGCCTCGTGAATAAGTTCCTCTTATGTAAGAAGTAATGCCATTCAAAGGCAAAGGGTTATGCTCTTTCTCCTCTTCTTTCTGAAAGGAAAGGAAGATGCATGTGATTGCTGGAGTTGGAGCAGCTACCTTGGAGCATGAGGTAAAAGCTACATGTTAAGGATGATCAAGCAATAAGAAAGAAGTGATCTGGGTTCCTGATGTTTTTAGAGCTTCCAAAGTATTAAGATCATCTTTTGGGAAAACGAATTAAAAAAAGAAAAAGAGTTTCCACACCAGCCCTGGGCCAGATACCTCCAAATATCATTTACTTGAGAGAAAGATAAACTTCTATATCATAGTTCACCACACTGTTTCTTTGGGTTTTTCTATCTCCTTTATATCTAAACACACACAGGTCAAGAATTAACCCCTAGAGCCCTTTTATGCACAATTGTTCTGCTACTGAAATAAATCCACAAACTAGATTAAAAGAAAGAAAGAAAAGCCCCAGGGGCATTTTACACCTCTTAAGCAGTAACAGACATGCTATGATTATATTCCAGGTATCTCTCTCCTGAGACTCTCCCGGGCCTTCCTCCCGGCATGGTGGTGGAACTGGGTAATAACTTCCTCACCCATCACAAGGGTCACAGATGACACTTCCACAGCAAAAGACAGGCTCACAAGAGGAAAGCATAACAAATTTATCTAGCCAAAGTTTTAAGTGACATGAGAGTAAGACCCAAAGACTCAGGGACAGCCGTCCACTTCCGTGCTGAGACTCCGTGAAGAATAAACAGCCCTGCAGAAATGTGATTGGACAAAAATGATATGATCTAGTGGTGACAGACTGAGTCAGGGAGACCCAGCAAGACCTGTCTGTGCACATTCCTCTTGTCCCTCTGTGTAGCGTCCCTTACTCCTGAGCAGGCGCAGGACCCTCTGAAGTGTGACGATCTACTGTCAGGCCAAGTGGGTGGAGAATTGCTTTACAGCCAGCTCCTACACAGAGCCGGGAGTTTACGGTACTATTTCTACCTTCTCTGGCCCAGCGCGGGGAAGAGGGACCCTGCTTTCTGTGGCTTGCCTTGGGGTAGGGAGGGGCTTGGGAGAAGCCAGGGGGGGAGAAGGTCAGAGAGAGACTTTGCTTCCGAGACCTTCCAACCTCCTTTAGCTCTAAGTCCCCAGCGAGCCCAAGCCCAGCCCTGTGCTTTGGGGCATCGTTTCCGAGCCCCGGTAGAGGGAAGGAGGTTGCAGCAGGAGCTTGGACACGTCTGTGTCTGTTGCAGATGGCATGTGGCATGCTGAGAGAGCTGGACCCCTGTGCCAGGGCCCCCTCCAGACCCGCCTGGCCTCCCTGACTCGGTGACTCAGGCCCCGAGATCCACGTGGCTTACCCGGGCACCGGGAACTTTATTTAACCCTTTGGCATTCCTGTGCGGCTCCTTTTACCCCGTCCCGGTGCGCAGGGCTGTGCGGTCCTATCTGTGCCTTAGTATTACAATCGCAATAAAAATAAAACGCTGCCCTTTAATGAAGCCCTGCGGTGTGACCCTCGCAGCGTCCGGCGCTCTCTGAGAGGACGGAACACGTGCCCCTGCCCTGGGCCACCACGGAGACAGGAAAGGCGGCCGGCTGAGGCTTTAATGGGGCCCTTTACAGGAAGCGCTCCTCCTTCGAGCCCAGGGAGCAGTCGCTAGGCCGGCTCCGCTCTGCTCGGTCACGCCACTTACTGGATCGGGCTGCGCAGTGTCGAGAAGGAGCAGCTGGGAGACACCCCCCTTACGGCTCGGGCTGGCCGTTCTGTCTGGGGTTCCACGTGGGACGCTCCCGGGGCATGTCCTGCGGCCTGGAGGGAGGGTGCGGGGTGGGGGCTCCCACCAGGGCCAGGCGAGCCTCGGCCGTTCCTCGTTGTCCTGGCTGCTGGTCAGGCCCCTCCTGGTGGGGGGACACGACCCCCAACATGGAGTGGGGGATTCGCAGCCGGTGAGGCAGAAGGAGGCAGCGAGATGGAGGTTCAGAGCACATGGGACGAATGAGTTCGATCCCGACTCCACCACCAGCTCTGGGATCCACCCGGTGACTTGGGCTCTCTGCGCCTCAGTTTCCTCATCTGGACAGCGAGAGCTTCCTCCTAGGGCCGTCGTGAGTCTTACATGAGTCACCACGTGTCAAGTTTTAGGATGGTGTGTGGCACACAAAACCTGCTCAAAGAATATTAGCTGCTAGTATAGCACTATCGTTTTAATTACGACAACGATGATGACGACGATGATGATGATGAAGGGGGTGTTTCGGGAGGGAAGCTCACACTCCGTGAGCTCCCTCAGGGAGGCGGCTCTCGGGGCGGATCTGACTTCTGAAACGCCCTCTCTAGCACACGCCTCGGAGCGCGGGCTCGCGCCCCAGCCTGTCTTCTTGCTGCAGCCCATCGGGGAGCACGCTCTCCCCGCTCAGGGAGGCAGAGGAGTGTCTGAGTGCAAGCTCCGCCCTTCTAGAAGGTTCCTTCTAGAAGGAAGGTTCCTTCCCTCTGTGCCTTGATTTCCTCTCTTGTGACGTGGGGTGATGCCAGCACCTCCCTGGGAGGTTTAAATGAGATAATATGTGCCTGGAGAGCCCTGGCGACAGCCTGGCACTGGTGGCACTGGAGACAGGGGGGGAGGGGCAGGGGCTGCTCCAGGCCCCCCATGGGGGTGCCCCTGAGGGGTGGTGCCCGGGCGCTCCAGTGTGCTCGAGAAGCCATCCCCAGCTCCCTCCATGGGGTCCTCCGGAAGCTGCCCGCGTGCAGAGGGGCCACTCCTGAGCGGTTGCCTCCGGTGACAGAAAAGGCTCAGGCTCCGTCTCGCTCCCATGGGGCTGGGGGCCACTGACCACTGGGGCACAGGGCGGGGCAGACTGGTGCCCGCACGGTGTCCCAATCCTCCCTCTGCCTCTAGGAGGCTGGCGTCTACTGCCTCGTTCTGCAGATGACGGACTGAGGCCCAGAGATCCAGAAATGGGGGCATCAACTCCAGGCCTGACTGGCCCTGGAGCCCCCATTCCTGACCGGGACGCGCTTGGCCTCCCTGCTCTGGGATGGAGCTCACTCTTCCTCGCTGTCACCCCTCCCAGTCCAGCTCTCCACCCCAAAATTCACTTTTCTATTCCCACCTGCTGGTTCCCCTTTTCCTGTTGATCCCAAAGACTAGTGACTTGTCATTCATTTGGTCTGTCCTGGAACCCCAAAGACTTGCAGGAGCAAGAGCAGGCCCTCCCCCTCCTAGAGCCTGTCCTGGACCGGGGAGGAGGAGGTTGTGGTCTGGAGCAGACATGCTGTGGCCGGGGAGCCTCAAGGGACCTGCGCTGTGCTGGAGCCAGCCAGGAAGGCTTCCTGGAGGTGGTGGGCCTTGAGATGGGCTTGGAACAGCTGAGACGCCTGGACCAAAACAATGCAGGGAAAGGCACAGCTGCTGACAGCTTGGGTACCTACAGACCTGGGACCCAGCCTTGCTGCCAACTAGCTGGGTGACTTGGGCGTGGTAATTAACCTCTCCTTGCCTCAATGTCTCTGTCTGAAACAGAGGCATCAACAGTCACTAAGGAAGCAAGAGTGTGACTTCATGGGATGAGCACTAAAATATGAGCCTAGAGGCCTGGGTGCCCACTGCAACATTGACAGCAGCCGTGGCTGCGTCCACCAGGTGCTTGTTGGTGCTACATGCTTCCCGTGTACAATCTCATTTAGACTTCACGGCCACCTTACATGGGAGGTCCCCGTTTTTCAGCAGAGGAAACATGCCCAGAGGGGTCTGGGGATTCACCTGAGCTCACGCAGTTGGCAGGTGGCAGAGGGGAGGCTGAGACGCCTCGGCCACCTGAGCCTGTGCCCTAACACTTGGGACACTGTCCCACCCTCCCCCTCAGGCGTCCCCCTTCTGTTAAGAAGGGCAGGGCTGGGCTAGTGGCATCTGCTCTGTCCTAACTCCGCCACTGCAGCAGGAAGGCTCCCTACCCAAGCCCAGGCCCCCACCGGCCTCTCAGCAGCCTCCCTGACCCACCCCCACGATGAGGTGGGGGAAGCCCGGCCTCCCCGGGGCTCGTTTCCTGCCTCCGAGAGGGTGGGGGGCCTGGGGAGGGAGGAGCTGGGTCCCCAGTGCCCAGGCTCTGCCAGCTAAATTTAGGTGCTGGGATATAGAAGGAACAAGGGTAATTAAGGGGTGTTGTGTCACTTTCCAGCTGCCTCTCACATCCCCTAGCAGTCACACGCCACTTGGAAAGGAGGGAGGAGGCGTGGGTGACACAGAGGGAGGAGTGGATGGACAGTTGGGGCTGGAGATGGGGGGACCCACAGACCCAGGGGCTACCAGGAGCAGGGCCGGCTGAGCCCGGCCCCGCCCCGTTGCTCCGGGACCCTGCAGGAGGGGATCACAGGGAGGCAATTTTCAGCCAAATAGCCCAAGGGCTTCCTCCAATCAACACCATCCACAGATGGAAAGCAGTGAGCCTGTCATTGGAAATGCCCAAGCAGAAATCTACTGAGCGTTGATCACGCACGAGACGCAACAGGATTTGCGCGTATGTTCTCGGCAAGTCCTTGCAACAACTCTGTGAGGACGGTGGTATCATTTCCAGCTGACAGAGGGGGAAACTGAGGACCTAGCTGTCCAGGTTGCACAGCTGAGGCTTGGGGGAGCCAGGGTATGAACCCGGCAGGCTCTAGAGCCCGAGTGCTTAGCCACAGGCTACAGCTGACTCTGGTCTGCAGCCAGCCAGGTGTCACTCTGTGATCAGAGAAGGCTTAAAGAAGTCTTTGCTGAAGAGATGAGAAGTGGAGCCATTCGAGGTGGCAGTAACTGCCTTTGTAAAGACTGAAAGGTTAAAAGTCTGCCCACCCCAAAGTGCACAGGCTAGCATCAAATCAAGTAGGAAGCTCCATGCCAGGGCCTTCACGACTGTTGCACTATCCCTGTAAGTATTAAAACCAGACCTGAATCACTCAATTAAAAAACTGGGCAAAGCATCTGAGTAGGCATCTCTCCAAAGAAGATGTACAAATGGCCAATAAGCGCATGAAAGATGTTCAATATCAACAGTCAGGAGGGAAATGCAAATGAACGCCACAGTGAGAGCCCACTTCCCACCCACTAGGACGGCAGTAATGAAAAAGACAATAACAAGTGCTGGCAAGGATCTGAAGACATCGGAACCCTTGTGCATTGCTGGTGGGAATGCAAAATGGTGCAGCCACTT